GGATACCCCAGGGAAGCTGCAGGTGTAGGGGCTTGGGTCCCTCTGGGGTTAGGGATCCCCTTCCCTTTAGTGGCCTTGATCTCCTTTTCCACCTCAGGTGGATCTGGCCTACTGCATTTCGATGAGGGTTCTGGATTGTCCTCTGCCGCCCTCTTGCTTCTTTCAGCCATGATGTCTTCACCTGTAGTCTTCAAGGCTGCAAAAGCAGTAGGCCTGGCACAGGTGCGAGTCGATAGAAGCTGCGCACCATGCAGAAATGTCCTGCAGACGGGAGTATGACCCGAGGGCCAAAGCTCTCCCACGCCGTTCGCTGTAGATCTTCTTGGGGGAGGAAGCCTTGCCGGCACCCTGAACTAAGACTAAAAACTCCCCCATGGCTAACTGCTTGCTGAGAGTGAAAGCGCAGTAGCTGCAACAGCCAGAGGTCAAAAGTGCGCCAAAACTGCTTCAAAGTGGCTGCCACGCTTCTTCGGGTGATAAGGGAGCTGCCAGACGCAATCTGGAGCCTCCGCTGACATCTCCGGGCGATAAACAGTTAAATGATAGCTGTGGGGGGAAGGAAGCCTCCTATTGCCCCCACGCTCGCCAGCCGCCGCCAGACAAGCACCCCAATGAACCTCAGCTCCATTAGCAAACAGAGAGCCAGGAATCTCCCAAGTTCTCTCAGCAGTTTAATAGGAACCTCGTTTTAAAGCGTAATTTTTCTCCTGACTCCAATGATGACAAAAATAAGAAAATCTCTAACTAGGAGAGTCCCAGTCTGTTCACCCAAAAACTGAGCAACTCCCCAAAAACACATCCGAACTGGGCTGGACTGAGTTTTTGAACTGGTCCTTAATGAGGAGAGGAGAAAATTAACTCAGATTTGGGCGAATAGACTGAATTTAACTCATGCTTGGACTCTCCAAGCAGCGCACAGGAGAATAATGGGTTCACTTAACAATTTTGTGGCATTTGTTTTACAACTGAGGCATTCAATGAATGACCACAAAAGATAGTAATCAGGTGCAGTTGCATGGTGAGCTGCTTATTAACCATCTTTAATTGCAGGCTCAGTTATAGTTCTAAGCTGAGAACTACCTGTAGATAGATTTTTCTCCGTAAGAATTCATCTCCAACTTGATCCTTCAGATATTCCAATAGTGTACACATCACCACTGTAACTCAGTCCATTTATCTTGCTCCTGGATGTCCTTTTCTTCTCTTTTGAAATCTGTTTCTTGACTGCTGGTCTTTCAATTGTTGTTAGTTTATCTTAAAAAGGAGAAGCTATCCACCACTTCAATATTTTTATTGTCAATTCTAATGCTGGTTGCTGTACTAGTTGCCATTAGCTTGGTCTTTATTATTAATCTTAATTCCATTTTGTCACTCTTCTCCTTGATTTTCCCTACTAGACTTTATTTGCATTTTCAGTTATCAGAGTGTCATCAGTATAGCACATCATTGATGGTTTTTTTCTGCAAGTTTAAAACCACATTTATCTTCTTGCCATTTTAAAACCACACTCATCTTCATTCAGTATGAATAAATAATACAGTAAGTCTATCATTAAGTACTATTTTTTAAAATGAAAGGGCTTATGGAATAGTAGGCATTTCCTGGAAAAAGTGTGTGGCAACCTGCAATAGTGCTGGGTAGGCTAGTGCCAGTGATAAACTTGATAACTAAGCAAATTGCATTAATTGAGTCAGAACTTCCAGATAATACTGTGACAAGGGAAATACTAAGACCAACATTCTTTGGTACAAATACTTCTGGTTAAGCTTCAATTCAGGAATTGGAAGTGCTGCCTCAGAGAAAGGCAAAATACATATAAAAGCTTTTTCTTGGTATGCAGCAAGATATATATTTTAAATATTGCAAGCACCAGTGTACAGCACAAAATGGTTATATTTCTGATAAATTTAGAACCAAAGAGGAAGGAGTGGACCAGGACATAAGGGGGGGGGGGAATAAAGGGTGTAGGCTGCAAGAATATTCACATCAAGGATTCATGATTGAGGGAGGGCACAGATGAAGAAATATTGCCCCAAGTAATTCGGGGCCCAACCCATTCAGCGGGACACATGCTTGACCTCGTATTTCTCTCGGAGCAGTGGATTTGTGATCTTGGTCTGAGGGGGAGTGACATCATACCCCTGTCGTGGTCAGGCCATTGCCTACTGAGGCTCGACTTCCGGAGGCCAAACCCCCACTGTAGGGAGGAGGAACCGTCCAGGTGGTTCCGCCCCAGGCGCCTTAT